GTGATTGTTTATTGGATGACGTACTTTGTTCTTCGAATTACTCGGTCACTGGGTCGCTCTTTGATGTTAGTCCAAAAAATTGTCTTGGGTGCAGAAAATGAATCAATCGATACTGTTGACTTTGGTTTTTGTCTTGTCACAGTATGAATTGTAATCTTTCTAACTAGATTTATTTCAGAATGTGCTGATTTGATAAAGAAAATGTTAGTGTTCAATCCATTCAAGCGGTGTGGTATCAATGCTGTCATGCAGCATCGGTTAGTCTTGGTTTATCACATCTAAACATAAGCGTCAGATTACATTTGTTATGTCTGTGTGGGTGTATTGAAATTACGTGTTCTGCGATACATTATACACGACAACATTGAGTGAGACCTTCCCTTATTCTTCCCGTGAGGTCATGTTCACTTTATTTATTTATTTATTATGCGCACAATGACATGCCAGAGAGATATCGGTGTCCGTGTGAATAATTCATACAAGTGGTCAGAGGCATAAGGTACGATAATTTAGCTCTCGGTCCAAAATTGTAGCAAAGGTATATAGTGGGGGAAATGGTAAAAGTGAAGTGAAACGCTAAAAAATCTGCCAAAAAAGGCTTTGATCACACTACTCAGAAGACGGTATCGGACGAGTTTCCCACTGGCATCGTGCCAATAACCGCTACGGTAGGTACGGCTGCATGTGTGTACTCATATATCCATGCAGCACCGCAACCGCTTCATATCAATCCCTTCGCTTCATATTGTACTTCGCAAATGAAGCGATACGAGCATCAGCATCGGTCGGACATTTGTGGGCGGGCGGGCGCGGTGGGCGTCCGAGTCGGTATGTTGCAGCTTGCTAGACCGCTGGTTGGGCGTGTCAGCCAGTATGAGTGTGCACAGCGTCAAAGCCGTTCTCTGCCTTCTTGTTGAAGCGCGCATGCGACAAAAAGTGGTAGAAAACGAGTAATACGAACGATATGATACAGTCATATCACTTGCTCGCTTCAACAACTGGTGGAGAACGAGTTTGGCACCGCGCCAAACGCAGCCGCACTGACACGCCCAACCGTCCGCAGCGAACTACACTATATAAGTGGGCTCTTGGAAGCGCCGTGAAAAGCTGAGGTGACTCGGGGATTGAGCGTCTTTGTATATGGAATTCTTTGGTTTAGAACGACAAGCCTAACGTAGAAGGAGGAACAAAAAATCGTTTATGCTGGGTTAGCCTTTATCACAGAAAACATGGATCTGAAGTAGGCTACTTACAATGCGTGTTGGGAAGGCTGTAGTTATAAGCGTTCCCGCTAGTGCCTGCATCCCCGACCATGGTCTCCTTTTCCCACAACCAGGTATAGGATTTCACCGGCACTTACAAACACGGATCGGCCCACTCACGTGGAGCCGGATAAAAGAGACGAGAACACGGGCATACGGTGATGAAGCCCTGTTGGATATTCAGAGAATCCGCGAGCACCTAAGTCCTATAAATAAGCCTGCGTATAGTTGCAATTACTCTTTTTTTATTCTCTCATCTTTTATCTTTTTTCATTACACTAATAAATAGGTGTAAATCTATAATTGTAACCTCCAAGAATAGTACAAAAGAAACTCAGAAAGGAAACTCAAGAAACTCAATTCTTACAAACGGAACTGTTTAAGACGTTCTTCATACTTTTATCACTTAAGGTCTCCTCAAAGCTATGTATAGCTGGATCCGACGAAATCAAAGGGAAAAGGTGGAACTTCAACTATCTTAGGTGGCGTTCAGACTTCGCGACGGTCGATGCAGTCGAGAGCATGCGCATCGATCGCTCCGAACGCGCGACAGAGGCGCTGCCGTCGCGCAAGTCTGAACGCTGCCTTACCGACGCAGATTTTCCATTCGGCTCACTGAGTTTGATGATTTAAAATTTGAAACAGAGTCGTGAAATGAACGATATTTCGTGCACACCTGAAGACAAACTAAACACTCTCCTCCAAGGGCGGTCGTTTCCATGTGCGAGGGTGAATGGGCCTGCACTTGCAAAGCGTGACATTTTCTCTGCTCAAAGATGAATGGAAAATGGGTTGGAGGTAGTGATACTCGATGACGGCTTCATACTCGGCCTATGCTATGCTCAAGGTACAGCGCCTACGCAGATATCATGGTCCTGCAGCGAATTATATCTCAGCTGTAGAGAACAAACAGGGGCCGTATGCTATAGTTCCCCTCGAAGGGAAGATATCCTCCAGTAAACCTCCGCTGTCTGCCGTTATCTCTATCAATGCCCATCGTCTCTCTGCATCTCTGTACCCTCAGTCATCCGGAATCTCCCCCCACGGCACGTGTTTTGGGAGAGGGGAAGAGATCGATTCTTCTCTGCGCTGTGCTATATTCGCTCAGAGCGTGCGCCAGAAGAGTATGGATGCAGAGCGGCGAGAGCCAGAGAGACGAGAGGCATCAGCAGAGATAAGGGCAGGGAGTGGAGGATTACTAGGGAATATCTCCCCTCGAGGGGAAGTATAGCATACGGCCCCAGTAGTGAGGAAACGCAGATAAGTATCGCATTCGGCTACGATTGGGCGTGTGGCTGGGCGCACGGCAACGCGACGCAGAGTACGGAGTCGGCACCGGGTTATTACTACCCTTTAGCTTTAGTTTTATTGTAGTCTTGAGTGGAGAGAGTGGCTTGTCACTGCAGCGGCGGACCCGTTCACCTCACACGTGGCAAGAGCGGAGCACGGAGGTAAGTGTACAGTTTGCCTTTAAGCCTTCTTTCATACTACGTGATGGTCTGTAAAGATCATCTTCGACACTGACCTTGTGTATCTGACGAGCATGGAGAGGTGAAAGTTCCACTTTGCTGCAGTTAGGCTGCGTTTATACTTTGCGGCAGCGTAGCGTAGCGTAGCGCAGCGTAGCGTAGCGTAGCGCAGCGTAGCGTAGCGCTTCCAGCGTACGCCAGCGGCAGTGCCGAAGAGAGGATGCATATCGATCTAGCTTCACCAGCGTCACCAGCGGCACGCTGGCGTACGCTAGCGGCACGCTAGCGTACGCCAGCGTTTCTCCAGCGTTTCACCAGCGTTTTGCTAGCGCTTGCAGCGGCAGGGAGTAGAGACTATGTGGCCGTGAGAGACGCAGAAGCGATGTGCATTGTAGAGACTATGTGCCCGTCGAAGACGCAGAAGCGATGTGCATTGTAGAGACTATGTGCCCGTCGAAGACGCAGAAGCGATGTGCATTGTAGAGACTATGTGCCCGTCGAAGACGCAGAAGCGATGCGCATTGTAGAGATAAGGGCGAGTGAGAAACGGGCAATCGATGTGTTTTGCCTCCCCTCCAGCTCTCCCATAGTCTCTACTCCCCTGCCGCTGCAAACGCTAGCAAAACGCTGGTGAAACGCTGGAGAAACGCTGGCGTACGCTAGCGTGCCGCTAGCGTACGCCAGCGTGCCGCTGGTGACGCTGGTGAAGCTAGATCGATATGCATCCTCTCTTCGGCACTGCCGCTGGCGTACGCTGGAAGCGCTACGCTACGCTGCCGCAAAGTATAAACGCAGCCTTATTCCCTTCAGCTCACTGAAACTTGATAACTTCAACTTTGAAAGTAGTTTATATCACTCATTATATCTCGACCGTAGCGGAGTTAACAAACACAGAAAGTGTGCGCACACTCTCCCTTCACGAGATCACGCGGACCGATAAAGGGGACTTTGTAGCATATGGGGACCGATAGTTTCGCTTCGTACATGGGGCGTACTGGAAGAATCGGGGACTTAGAGAACCAGCGCAAAGGGTGAATTGATCCGTTGACCCCACCTAAGAGTAGGGGTCGTGAAATCGATTGGTATTAGGTCTTTTTCATGAATTCTTCAATTTTCGATTCTTCAGAAAGTAGCTTTATATCACTTGTGGTATCCCAATCATAGCAGAGTTAACGAACATACAGGAAAAATGTGTGCACACTCTTTCTTCTCGAGATCACGCGGACTGATATAGGGGACTCTAGAGCAAATGGCACCGATAGTTGCGCTTTCCCTTCGTCCACCGGGCGTTTTTGTAGAAATCCGCGACTCACCAGGGAAGTCCGCCAAATTACCATGGAACTTTGAATGGAGACCTGGGTAGATCGATAGAGTCTATAAGGTTATTTACAAATATAGATAGCAAAACTGCAACCTGCATTTCACAAGCAACTTATGAGCAGGTAAAGTTTGTAATGGTGCAGTAGGGTGGAGGCTTGGTGGTGAGCTGTGAAGCATAAGCGAGGAATCGCATACGTCGAATCGAGTCGTCGAACGTCGAACCTTACCACTGAACCACCACGACTCGATTCGACGTATGCGATTCCTCGCTTATGCTTCACAGCTCACCAAGCCTCCACCCTACTGCACCATTACAAACTTTACCTGCTCATAAGTTGCTTGTGAAATGCAGGTTGCAGTTTGCTGTCTATATTGGTAAATAACTTCATAGACTATCGATCTACCCAGGTCTTCATTCAAAGTTCCATGGTAAGTTGACGGACTTCCCTTGTCAGAGAATCAGCGAAGAGGGTGAATCGATGCGTGGATTCCACCTGAGAGGAGAGTTTGTGAAATCGGTTTTTATTAGGTCTCTTTCATTATTTCTCCAATTTCCGATTCTTCAGCTCGGCGCTGATTACACGGCAAAGGGACTGCCGTTGCCTTGAATGAGTACGTGTTGAATTGCACACTCGCTGCATGTTTAATCGACACCAATTAGTACGTTGAGGCATCTAGAACCTGTGGGGGTGATTTGCTATTCTGAGTGCAGTCAAAAGGAAGGACTGACTGAAATCCCGGTTATGTGCTTGAAAACAGTTTGTGTTAGTTATGTGTGCCTTTACGAGTTTGATAGGTTGAACTCCATTGAGTTGGCCTAACGTTTCGACCCAATCGTCGTCTTGGGCGGCCCAATGTTCCACCTTTTTGAGCGAACCGCTTCCACACTTGAGTGTTAGTGAGTGACGAATAATTATTTGAACATTAGGCCAACTCGATGAAGTTCCACCTATCAGCCTCGCAAAGGCACAGAATAACACAAACAACAACTCACCATGCCGAGGTTGCAGGAAGAGAGAAGCTGGGAAATATTAAAAACAATACTTATGCGACAATGTTCATAATTCACTGCCTACCACCGCAAAACTGTGACAAAAAACCAGTTGAATGATGTTTCTCGTGATCCATCCGATTACCAGGTTGTTCACTGTATTCGAGATTTAGGTGGTTGATAAACTGTCAATCGGCGCAGACTCATCTGATGGTGAAGAACAGTATGTTAGCGACGGCTGCATCAATTCCGGAACGACGATCGTTGAAGTTGAATCCAACGATTTTGTTATTCATGCAGCAGTATGGGCGATGGACAGAAGAGCAAATTGTTGAGGTGAGACTGAGACCGCGCTCAGACTTCGCGATCGGATCGCGCGACCGCGGGGGCTCCACGCCAAGCGCTGCAGCGCCCTACCGGCAGAGGCACCGCTCACACAGTGGCAGTTTGGATAGTGTCGTTGCGACAGTGCACCACTTGGCGGTGGGGCGCCCGGTTGTGGTTGTGGGTTCCTATCGCGCAACCCAGTCGCTCGAGCGATCCGATCGAAAGTTTGAACACGGTCTTAGGTCTAGTACATGTGTTATCTCCGATCAATAGTCGGCGAATTGTCTTCTCTAGGAAGTGCTGAAGCAGAACTTCGAGAGCTCAATTTTCGCAACCTACGAGCTATTGTGCGATAAAGTTGGGAAAAATTCTTTGGAAGGTGTGTTTATTCACTTTCATACAGTGTAATAGACGTTTGTACTGTATTCGTGTTCTGTGAATATGGAAATCATGCGAACTGCGAGAACGCACGCAAAGGAGAGTACACGTATCGAACTTGGGAGTCTGCAAACTGGGAGAAAGCGCTGTTCGGTGAACTGCACAACCAAGGGGCTAGATGGGTATCGATTGGCTTTCCTCACTAGTGTTTTCGGACAAATCGCGAACTGGTGAATGCACGCTTCTCCGATTCCCAGATTTTCCGAAAACGTTGGTGGGCGAAGTTAAACGATATCCATCTAGTCCTTGGTCTCGCATTCCTTCAATTCCGGCTTTTTTCCAATTCATGGACTTTCGAGATCGATACATATACTTTCCTTTGCGCGCATTCTCCCTATTCGTGAACTCTCGATTGATACATATCCTTTGCGCGCATTCTCCCTTTTCGCGGGTTCTTTGATATATGAATACGCTTTGAAGATACTTCTTCTTCTTCTTTTATGATGGAGGCGTATGTGAGGTTCAGGAAGCGGTCGCTGATTCCAAGTCGCTCTCCTAGAATTTTTTAAAGATTGGATAAAAAACGTGTCGCTTACAGGGAACGACCTCCGCCAGTTTGGTAAGCGCAGGATCAGTCTTAACGGCTGACCCTGCGCTCAGCCGGGATTATCATGAACTGGCTGATTGTGGCGAGCCGTATTTTCACTTATTGTCTTGCACGAAGGATTTCGCAGCACGCGTAATACGTGAACGCGTAATAGCAAAGAAACCAAAAAAGTACCATATTATTCGGAAAAGCGAAAAGTGCTGCAAAACAGTAGCTGTGACAGAGCCCTAACTTGATTTTGATGCTCAGAAATGTGAAAGGTCGCCCGGCAAAGTTCCACTGTCATTGTACATGCCTTATCGCATTCGATAAGTCCACTGCGGTTCTGAATGGAAGTAGAATGCGTGTCGCATCCCAAAAAGAGATTGATCTACTGCGGAAGCTCCTTGATTCTTAAGCCTGATTAGTTCGTTGTACCAGATTTGTGGTAATTTCAAAATCATTGCTAGAGGTTTAATGGACAGTGAAACTATATTTCTAGGGCCAACTGACGACCATCCGAGGCGTGGATCACGTGGATCAATTTTAAGTGGGAAGGCCAATGTGGAACCAGAATCTGTCACGCCGACGATCTCTGCTCATCATCTCGCCCAGCTGAATTTGTCGACGAGTTTCGAATGTGTTAGTTTGAATAGTTTAGTATTTTTTGTGACACGATTATATTTAAAATATGGTTTATGTGTATATAGAAGTGGTGTTTGCATAGATGGGAATGTAACAGGTTTGCGTCTTGTTCTTCGGTTTTTGGTTCTGGTTTGACGTTTTCATAGCCTGTTGCACTTGAGGGTCCTTGAGGGTTTTTGATTAATTTCTTTTTGAGGACTCCGACGACTCATCCACTTCTGACATCTGTGAAGACTCACCATCGAGTTCTAGTCGAAATCGAGCTCAGGGTCGATGTCAGTTTGGTGTGGCAATGAAACAAGACGAAAGCAGTCGTAACGAGCACAGGTTGGATCTTTGTCTTGGAAAATTTAGGGCTGCACTCATACTTCGCAACTTGAGCCATTTAGTCGCGACTGATGGTGCCCCACTGCTAATAGTTGGACCGCTGCACCTGCTAGTTTTCGCAGTCAGGGTGGATTTGTATTGCAGAGTTCCAACGGTGGAGCGCGATCTGTCGCACATCGTTTAAATCGCAAAGTATGAACACGTCCTAAATCTCCTAACCCATTTTTGGCATCGTTTGCCCTTTACTGCCCCACTTTCTAAAACAGGCCAAAGTTGTGACCAAAAGTGGCTTTGTCTTGAATTTTGTCTTCGAGGGCAGTCTGATCATTGAACGGGAATACCGCGTCCGTGGCACGCGTAACTTGTGGCGCCAGCGCACGGACACTAGTGCCAAAACACCTCAAATGACCAAGCTCACTGAAGGCATCGGTCAGATTTTGCGGTGACTTGCGCCAGCGCTCTGTGACGCGCGATGACGCATGTCGACGCGTTTAACGCCCGAAGACACGCTCTATCACACTACAATTGCAACCTAATCCTATAGACGCGAACGCAGCCGTGGACGGAAATCAGTCGGCGGGATCGATAACGTCGCAAACTCTGAACGCTGCCGAAGCTTTTCGCCCTGGTCATTTTGGTCCCTCTAACACCTACATCACATCCGTTTAACGCGTTGACGCCTCACCCTCGCCTGAGCTGGCTCTTTACGTGCACGTCTCTGAGTCGACGGATAATTTTTGGTGTTGAGCTACCCTGTAGATACAACTTGGCCAGTTTTACCGCTGGAAAAATTGCATTTGAACTTTAACCTCAGACCAGTTGAGCCAATTTTAATTGTTCGTTGTCATGACGTCTTGTTAAGGAGGCATACGTTATGTGCGAGCGAACAGATTTTGTCACCAGATATGATGGCACAGCTTCCTCTCGGTTCGCCACTTCACCAGGTTTCTTTTTTTCTTAATTTTTTTCCTTCTCTGTCACAGACTATTTATTTTTTAGCCAGTATTATTATATTATTTATTATTCTTGTTTTTATATTATTTACTATTCTTGGCTTTGTCACAAATTTTCATTTGAACATCTTCATCAGAGGCTTAGGTTCATAGTTAAATTCAGATTCAGTTTCAGGCAGCCCTTAACCACACGGCGCTTACCAATATGGCAAGCAATCCGGGTGGTACGAATCTCTTACCCTCGCCTCAACCGCCTTTGTTTCCTGGCCTACCGCTTTTGCCTATTTTGGACTATACACGAATGCTGCCCGTTCCAAACAGTATGTTACATTTTTATTCCGTATTTATTGCTTTTTTGAACTGTTTGTACTTGTTTTTCCCTTATTGAAATAGCGTAACACCCTTCCGCTTAAGGTGAACGACGTGCTTCGGCTGGCGAAAATCTCTTGAATCCGGGTGCTATAGAAAACATGAATCACAATGTTCAATCTACTCCAACGGGTACTGTCACTGGTAGTGTTGAGGAGGAGGGAGAAGGGTAACCTATTCGATACTAACACCTTATAGATCATTATCAACTCAGGTCAAGCACTTCTTGCCCTTTACTAACTAGTAAAAAATCCCAGGTACCTAAGCAAATATGCTGGGAAAAGGAATACTGTGCATGGCGCATCTTCACCATTTGGTCCATCGTCTCCAGTACCACGGCATAGTCCTTACACGAAAGCGTCATCAACGGAAAGGTATCTGGATCTTACCACCATTGTACTGGTCTATGAGCTCTATTATTAGGAACTGGTATATATCTAGTTTAGTGGTCTGTAACCTAGTATTAATAACTTTCTAATCTAGGCGTAGCAGTTGGGCTTCACCGGCAATCACAGCTCAACAACATCAACAACTAGAACGACTGTACCGGCAAGCGATATCTAGTTCAGGTATTTTGGTAGTTTGATTTGTTTTGTTCCCCTTTACCGAAGTTCATTACTTCACTCCCGTGACCGCGCTCGTCCGAATACGGTAATTCCTTGGGTTATTATCGTGGAGATCGTGCATCCATGTTCGACCGTACACAAATCTGTTACTGTACTGACCGAAATGTGAGCTGTTTAAAAATGGAGAGTTAAACTTTTTATAAGGATTCAAGTAGGTGTTGAGGGGTCCTGTGACCAGAAAATCGTAATTCGCCGCGCTAGTGGGCGAAGCGTGCGACGTCGCGCCCGCCAATGACGACGATTTTAGGTGTTATTGGTCGAGAATAGACAATGGACCAAAAAATAGGCATAACAAATCCTTACATGTCTTGTCTAACGTGAATTCTCAGATGCTTTCAGTCTAAAGGTAGTGCGAACTGAGGAAACGTCGCGCCTATTGCCGCGAGCGACGAAGCGACAATTTACGATACTCTTGCCCTTCTCCCGGGCGGAGGTGTGTGGTGCAAATATGCGCAAATAGCAGCTTTTTCATCCAGCGAAAGTCGGTGGAGCAAATACTCCGGTCGCTATCGCCTATGCTAACGCATCTTCCATTCTGCGTGGTCCGTTAATTGTTCGAACGCTCGCCTGGACACAAAGGAAAACACGCCGCCCATGCTGTGTTATTTGATGCAACTCCCCGCACAGATGGCCATTGTGTATAAGGAGATGTCGCTCATTTTCGAAGGCGCATTTGAGCGATTTTGGAGTAAGACGCCCCGCGGAAAAGGCCGTACTAGAGTTGATGAGGAAAGCTTCATGTTTTGACTCTTAAGATGGTGTATCAGGGCACATCCTTGGTTGGGGATTTTAGTTGAGTCCGTACGACCCCCCCCCCGAGCCTGCTGTCGCCTCAGGAATCCAAGCGAGGGAGGGGGGGGGGGAAGGGAGGTAAATAGGCCCACTGCTGAAACAGGAAAAACCGCGAGAGCATTACGACCCCTCTTCTGCCGATTCTTAGATTTTCCCCCAACTTCTTGCCACTTGCCACTTTTTCCAAAATTTTTTCCCGAAAACTTCCCTACTTTTTTCCAAAAATTTTGCTGTGACAACAGGAAAATCACGAAAAGTCAACCACCACTCCTAGAACGCCAAAAGTAAATACGACCCCCCCCCCTTTACAACGTCCGTGAAGCGAGAAAAATCAACTATCAAAATAAATTTTTCTCAGCCCAAATACGACCCCCCTCTCCTGGCGACCAAATGACCCCCTGTTGGGGATTCCCCAACAACGATGTGCTCTGTGATGTATTCGTTACTAGAAATGTATTCTTTATTTAATTCTAGAAGGAGACTTAATTCTTGAGAACGACCTCGTATCTGCCCTTGGATACATGAGGTGAACTTTTTTGCATAAAATGCTGTAGGAGCGAAAATATGTACGATCTCCCGAACTGTTGGGAATAAGAGAGGAGTACCTTTATGTGCTAGTGTGTGCAGTACAAGGCTTTCTAGTAGGGTATCGAGTTCAGTTATTCAGGTGGTAATGACTTGATGGGAATCCAAGCATTGCAAAAGGAGTTCCAGCGACTTGGACAAATCGCTGCACAGGGCTGCAGTCCAACGTGAGTATATCATTGCTTTTTATCTTTTAAATAACCTTTTTTTCCATAGAGGGGTTAAAATAATGCTGGTTATTGGGAAAGTTTATATTGGGGTTGCTATTCTTTGGGTTGTTTAGGTTTCCGTTGTCATTGTAGAAAGATTAGGCACTATTCACCCTTTAGTGCCGCAATCATCTGGAATCAGACCAGTTTGTGACTGGGCAGAATTGGCTAGAAATTTGTCCGCCTGGGGTGGTTTGACCCCCTGAGCATGAGTATCTCATTCGCTCAGCACGAAATCTGTTGGCGCCTGCATCAAAATACCCTTAATTACTTAATTCGCTGAAAGCTTGTCCAGGGGTAGTCTGACCTCCTGAACACGAATATCACATCCGCTCGGCCCGAAACCTCCTGGCGCCCGCGCCACAAGCGCCAGCACCAAAATCCTGAATCACCGTGACGCGGGCGCGAGGAAGTTTTGGGCCGAGCGGATGCGATATTCGCATTCAGGAGGTCAAACTACCCCAGGAGACAACATTTGAGCCAAATCTGTCCACGGAGAAAAAAGTCGGTCAGAAACTGGCTCAATTCCGGATGTGTGGGGCAGTAAAGGGTAAATAGTGCCAAAGACTGTTATCTTCTCATGGAAATGTCCATTGCTCCTGGCTGATAGGATTGGTTCTGGCAGTCAAATTTGTTCTTTATTGTCCCGAACCTTACTTTTATATTTCCTGTTTTCCGCCCATGCCCAAGAATTTCCTACGGGGACGGTGAATCGCTACCAGATTCATCTGGGAGGATAAGATGCTATAATTAGGGCGATCCATTTAGAGAGGTGTTCAGCGTATTCTCAGTACTGGTGAGAAAAAAAGGCAGAAAATTCTGAATAAAAATTTTTTTCCAATGTAGTCCCCCATACCCTCAATACACTTGTTTGCTCGGGAAACAACCCTCAATACCCTTCAAAAATACTTCTCCTCCTTGTCCATAACGTGCGTTCCTCCAGCTCTTTATCGCCAAAAAAAGCTTTCCACGAAGATCTTCTTTTATTTAGGTTGGGAACAAGAAGTAATCACTTATCTTTTCCTCAGTTTTCATCTTCTTTTCTTTTTCTTTGCTAAATTACTCCGATACCGATAATGAGGTGAAGGTGATGTAGTGACCCGTGGCGCGCTGGCTTTTGCAAGTCATTGTATAGGCCACATCGCATTCAATAAGCCACTACGATTCTGAATGGAAGTAGAATGCGTGCCGCATCCCACAAAGGGATTGATCAAACGAAGACTTTATCCTTTTATCCTTTATTTCTTGTTTTTTAGGAAGGGACTGTTTGTTTTCAGGGCGAGCAGATCACCAACGCACTTCTTCGATCACCGAACAGCTCAATTTGGATGTCCTCGTATATCCATAACTGATGAACACAATCGAAGTCTCGCACAAGGTTCCAGCTTATTCGATCCGGTTAATTTGTTCGAGCAGAAGGTGCGTTGTTATTGTAGCTGTTATATTGAGCTTTACCAGGTCCATATTTTATTGCAATTTATTTTCCTTTTTCCAGGTGAACGAGATGGTTTTTGGTCAAAGACCGGCTACAGTCATTGGGTTCGCTTCAACATCAAAATCAGGAACATCTTCACCCGAGCAAAATATCAAATTGGACGATAAGGAATGTATAGACGACAGAGTGAAGGTGTGTGAAGAATTCCTCAGTTTTGCTTACTTCTATCCTACTCAGACCTTCAATATAAGCCAAGACGCACTTAATCTAGTGAGAAAGGAAGTACAGAATGTTGATGCGACCATTTTTTTTCCTTGCGCTCGGTCCTAGTCAAACGGTGGGAGGGTGGTGGATCAGGGAAACATCGTTGTTGGGGAATCCCCAATAGGGTGGGTTTGGCTGAAAAATTATTTTGATATCTGATTTTCTCGTCTTTGGCGGTACGGTTTTGGAAATGGGGGGGGTCGATATTTGGCCATGTTGAGGGGGGTCTCCGTATTTCTGGCCAGGATTACTCGAGGTTGGGCGAAAATATAGGAAGAAGTCGCAGATAGTAGGTAGGATAGAGAAGGATAGGTTGTTGGCAGAGGAGGAAATCAGGGGGGGGCTGTATCTGCGGAAATTTTTTTCCCCCGCTGCACGGATAAGCCCTGATATGAAACGTGTTTGTGATGCCTGATTCCCACAGGGCTGCACGAGCTGGGAATCAACCTTAACCTAGCTCACCATTTCTTGGACTTGCGTCTATTTCCAGTCATTAATAATGGCACGTTCTTCGACCGTTTACTAAGTCGCTCCGAAGTGAACGTAAATCTGCTCACTTTGTCGAGAATGATCAATGAAACTCGCAAGTCCATTCAGTATACAAAATCAAACAACCAGCCACCATCATAACATGCAAAAACTAGTTGCTTATACCATCACATGCGAAACGATCAGATAACAAAGACTCTTGTCAAATTGGAAGAGTGATTTGATTGCGATTAGCTGACACTGATTTGGGGACTTCACTGCTGTTTCACACTCACGTATTTAAATTATAGGTTTTCAGTAAGTATTTATACTTTGAATACGTGACTGTGGAACAGCAGAGAATTCCTTCAATCAATATATCGGCTAATTGCACTTAAACTACTCTTCCATTTGACGGCTGAGTCCTTTAGTCTGATTGTTGAATGATGGTTAGCACTGGTTTTGCTCTCTTACTGAAAAAAGTGGCTTGTTGTTCAATTTGCATAGGATGGCTGCTGTCTCCATTAAATCGTTCACTGGCAAGGCGAAGAGATTGACGGTCCCTTATGAATGAACTGAGTTGTAGACTGAAGACCGTGCCTGCAGTTCAAAATCTTGTTCGGCGGTAGTATGGGCCAGGGCATGCCATTGCCGGAGAAAAAACACGGGAAGTCGCGGTTTGACCGCGAAGAAGGGGATCATATTCGCAGGGTTCATTCTGAAATGGGTGGAGCAGCGATACTCAGGCTCGTACAGTCACTGAATAGTGAAAGAGTTATTCATGGTCCTTGTTGTGAAGAACACCTGGAGACAGTGGCAAGCTGTAAGCTCAGGTGGAGGAGCGGGCTGTGAACCAGAAGTACAGTGACCGCCCAAAACAACGTCATGAGTTAATAAACCAAGCACAACACAGCGTGCACTTTTTCGAACTGTGGAAACTTATTTGTTTGCACGAAGAAGCCTTTTCGAGACATCTTTCCAACACCTCTGAGTTGAATTCGCATGTATGGCAGAATTCAGAGGGCGTTTATGGCAAGAGAAACATGATTGCCTCGCTGGCTTGCCTTGCGAGCGACGCCGCGCCGCTAGAGACAGTTTTCCCGTCCTAGCGGTTCGAATTTGAACATTAAAGGGACGTTGAAGGGTATTACTGAAGAGTGCCAGCCGTTAGCGGTACTGAAGATTATGTGTTTTGATGCTTCGTATCTTCAGCCATGACAGTAGTAGACGGTGTAGGAAATGGCTAAAAACACGTGAAATATGTGTGGAAATATGGAAAAAAAAATGTGCGGCGAGCTCCGCGAGTTTCACTGCTCAAGGCGCGCAGTTTGAATTTCCCGCGCCCATCGCCGCGTGACGCCCACGTTGAAAATTTTCCGCGCTCATCGTCAGAAGGTGTGCCGCGCGCGACGACCCGGCAAACTACGAATTCTCCTGCCCGTCTCCCGGTCAGAGATGATGCCAATCGACACCGAATGAACTATTTCCTAACGACTAAGACGAAAAATATGTTCTAAAAGCGCACTCACAAGGGGCAGTCGGGGCTTTGACCTTGGTGATTTCCCCTTCGCGTTCCCTTCCCCGTGGTAGCGTTCTCCAGTGGTCGCATCCCTCAGTTTTTGTGCGCGTTCATACTTCGCGGTTCGGGAGCTCCTATAGTGCGATTGATTGGATCGATCAGAGCGACGAAATCGCGAAGTATAGGCACACCCATGGGCTTAGAGAACGCATATGAAGCAGTGTGGGTTTGACAATCACTCGCTCTTTCCGAATTACGATTCTCAGAGTTCGATATCGATTTTTAACTCGTTGGT